AGGAGGGAGGGAGAGAGAGAGAGAGATGAGAGACTGTATAACATTGAAAAATATAATCTCCAATGACTGGCCAAGAAATCGACCTATACAAAACCTCCTTGAAGAAAGGCCTATACTATAGTATAGGCCTATATGTACTAAACCAAAACTCTGAAACGTGACATTAAAACGAAGTATGAAAATACCGTATCTACAATGTTTTTTCAATCAGATTACAACAATTAGGTCTAATTTGCGAGTTAAGCTTTCCAAAACAGCATAAAAATCCCAGAGCCAGGCTTATGTTGCGAGCAACTAGTTTGCTTAATTAAGGGGGCAAGGGCTCCAGATTTAAAAAAAAAATCATTAAATGAAAACTAGTTCGATTTTAATCAAACTTTTTTGACTAGTTGTATATGAAAAAGTGTTTCATCTGGTCCAAGTCTGAGCATCGTAGCATAAATAGGATGGGAGAAAAAAATATTGAATTATGTGTCAAAAATTTTCCAAAATGATCAAAAACGATTATCAAACACAAGTGTCAACTCATATCTATGACTCTCAGCTATCACAATAGCATATATTAAATAAATATTATAATTAGTTTTATTAGAAAAATAATTAAGTTAAAAAAATGATATATATATTTTTTTTTCTATTTTTTTTTATCGAACGATTTGAGTATTGACATAACGTCTGTGTTATTATTGATGTCAACTCCGTTAGATTAAAATATGTATTAACTACAATTTTGTTCGATATATATGAGATGAGTTTCTGGGCGATAGCCAGGTTTCTGTATTTATGTTAATGTCTGTCTGTCCTCTCTCTCTCTCTCTCTCTCTCTCTCTCTCTCTCTCTCTCTCTCTCTCTCTCTCTCTCTCTCTCTGTCTCTCTGTCTCTCTGTCTCTCTCTCTCTCTGTCTCTGTCTCTGTCTCTGTCTCTCTCTCTCTCTCCTCTCTCCTCTCTCCTCTCTCTCTCTCTCTCTCTCTCTCTCTCTCTCTCTCTCTCTCTCTCTCTCTCTCTCTCTCTCTCTCTCTCTCTCTCTTTCTCTCCTTTGCCCGTTCTTCTGCCCTGTGGACAAAGCTTTAGTAACAAAAACGTCATCTACGTTACGTCAACGTTGAATCGACGTCAACACCGGCCATAAGTTTTATTTTTTTTATTAATACATTAGGTACATCTGCATTAGTGCAGCTGCCCTAGACTATATGGAGTGGAGTACAGTGTGTCAAAATAGCTAACTACGTGATGCTATAAAATCCCCATCACACAGGATGGTTAGTCATACAGAGGCATGTGATAGGCGGTCTGCACTGCCAGACTCCGGAAGCATTTTGAGGATATCAACAACACAAGATTGAATAAGGTAGCAGTGGTAATAAAAGTCCCCATCTCGCAGGATGGTTAGTCATACAGGGCCATATGTTTAGTAGCCTGCACTAGCAAATTTTGGGTACACTGTGAGGATATCTTCAAGAATACGAGAGTGAATAAAGTAATTGCAGAGCTCCAGGTACCTCATGCTGCTATAAGACCTGTTTTAACACTCTACGGACAACCAGACCTACCTTTCATACCTCACCGGCTCCGCTGAGATTCGCAATAGGAGCCGCTCCTTCTTAAGGCGGGGCATGAGGGGGTCGACCCCAGCCATCCTATGACACTTGCCATAGGATCATACGTTATCCTACACAGTTCTTTGAGGCTTGTCTCCTACCTCGGACAGACATCCTATTTTATGAAATATAGATCATTTTTGACATCCCCGCTAACCGGTATCACTGCTTTTTATGTTTGGTGATTGCTGCCGGTGGTGGAGGGTGAGGTCTGCCGGTGGTGGAGGGTGAGGTCTGCCGGTGGTGGAGGGTGAGGGCTGCCGGTGGTGGAGGGTGAGGTCTGCCGGTGGTGGAGGGTGAGGGCTGCCGGTGGTGGAGGGTGAGGGCTGCCGGTGGTGGAGGGTGAGGTCTGCCGGTGGTGGAGGGTGAGGGCTGCCGGTGGTGGAGGGTGAGGTCTGCCGGTGGTGGAGGGTGAGGTCTGCCGGTGGTGGAGGGTGAGGGCAGCCGGTGGTGGAGGGTGAGGGCTGCCGGTGGTGGAGGGTGAGGGCTGCCGGTGGTGGAGGGTGAGGGCTGCCAGTGGTGGAGGGCGAGGGCTGCCGGTGGTGGAGGGTGAGGGCAGCCGGTGGTGGAGGGTGAGGGCTGCCGGTGGTGGAGGGTGAGGGCTGCCAGTGGTGGAGGGAGAGGGCGGCCGTGTGGCACACAGCCCGACAAGGCAAGATTAATGTACTGTTGATCCATGAGTATTCCTTCACTTGTCTGTCTGTCCCCCCCCTCTCTCTCTCTCTCTCTCTCTCTCTCTCTCTCTCTCTCTCTCTCTCTCTCTCTCTCTCTCTCTCTCTCTCTCTCTCACTCTCTCTCTCTTTCTCTCCTCTCCTCCATTCCTCTTTTACCTCCCTCTCATCAAAACAAACCCCTCCCCTCCCATACCTTATAGTTTACTCTACCCTATCCCATACCCTTCCCTCCCCCCTTCCTCTTTCCAACCCATTCTCTTCCCCCTTCCCTCCCCTACCCCTCCACTAACATCTCCCCCTATCCCCTACCTCCTGGCTGACGGCCCGGGTAAGGGGGAGGTAATGGTGGGGTGGGGGAGGCTGAGACAGGTAAACACAGGACTGTCAGCACCAGCACCTTATACGACGCCCTGTTTACCCGTCAGCCGCTGTCAGCGTCCAGTGAAGTGCTCTCCTCCTGACACTGTCATGGCTGGCACCATTTTGTTGACTCTGTCAGCGTGACACCTGACTTCCTGACACTATTGTGCTGCCACGTCTATATTGCTGACCCTCCTCTCTGCTGACAGTGGCTACAGCCTCTCTCTCTCTCTCTCTCTCTTACCCCCCCCCCCTCCCCTTCCTCTCCAACTCTCAAAAATGGGACTTTGGAAAAAGTGTTGAGGGTCCACATTTGAGAGAGGAACTTGAGTGAGACACAAGCACTTAACCCTCAAGGTGTTGTTAAGCCTGTGTCTGAGTGGCCACTTAGAATACGGCTCATTGTCCTGCTCCACCCCCCCCCTGCCCACCTCCGCACCTCACTCCATCCACACCTCACCTCATCCCTCCCTCCCTTTCGCCTACCCTAAGGGACTCCCTCCCTCCCTCCCTCCATCTGCCCTCCAAAGTTCACCAAATTAACCATTAAACAATAGATTGAAAACTTTGCAAATAAACAGTCAGTAGTTTAATCCAGCAGTATAATCATAAATCCTACAGCATCATAAAATAAATCTTACAGTACCAGCCTTTAGTTTATCATAAATAAATCAAATAGAACACACACACACACACATTGCTCCACAGAATAAAGCTAGCAAAATACGTCAACTCGTCTTCAGACCAAGTTCATTCCATCTAGCGGTCGACCCCAAAGACGCATTCATTAATTTTAACATGCTGTTCATTCAAAATGGGAATTTTCTCCAGTATAAATTAATATTGTTAAATATTAGCATACTGTGCATATTTAGACATTGGTTAGGTTAAGTGTTCAGGTTCTAACTGCGATTATTTGTATTTTTAGTGCATGGGTGAAGCGTTTACAACAGCCCGTCCTCTAAACCAAGATCCAAAGACCATTCCATGCACCCGCCAAACCCCCTGTTGCTTATGAATGAAAAACGGTTTACACACGACTCACAACTGATGACGTTCGAACACTTCCGGAGCAAGTGCTTCACTGACTAATTTTGTTCGAACCACAACGCTGTAAATGCTTCACCCACGTACTACAAATACAAATAATCGCCCACAGAACCTAAACACCTAACCTAACCTATGCCTAAATATGCACAGTATGGAAATATATAACAATATTCTTTCATATGTGTGAAAATTCCTATTTTGAATGAACAGCATGTTAAAATTGATGAATGCGTCTTTGGGGGTCGTCCGCCGGATAGAATGAACTTGGTCTGAGGACGGGTTGTGTGTGTTAACCGTATTTCGTTCATAAACAATGGGTTTGGCCACTGCATTAAAGAGCATTTGGTATTCGTTGATGAAGACGGGCTGAAAATACGCGAAAACGAAATCAAATGTTCGCAGGTTGAGTCGTGTGTAAAGAGTTTTTTATTTATAAACAGGGGGTTCGCGCCTGGATTAATGAGCATTAAGCCTTTGTTGATGAGAGCGGGCTGGGATAAGGCCCGGCCTCATCAACAAAGGCTACATTTTCATTCTATGCAGCCACGAAACTCCCTGATTATGAAGGAAAAACTCTTTACCCAACCCGTCCTCGACTCAAGTCCATTACATTCAGCGGTCAACCCCACAGACGCATTCATAAATTTTAACATGCTGTTCATTCAAAACGGGAATTTTCTCAAGTATAAATTAATATTATAATATATTAGCATATTGTGTATATATAGGCATAGGATAGGTTAGGTTAGGTGTTTAGGTTCTGTTGGCGATTATTTGTATTTGTAGTACGTGGGTGAAGCATTTATAGCGTTGTGATTCGAACAAAATTCTTCAGTGAAGCACTAGTTCCGGATATGTTCGAATGTCAGCAGTTGTGAGTCGTGTGTAAACCGCTTTTCATTCATAAACAGGGGGTTTGGCGGCTGCATGGAATCACTTTTGGATCTTTGTTTGGAGGACGGGCTGCACAACCGATGATGTTCGAACATTTCTCGTACAGCACTTCGCTGAAATGTTCGAACCTCGAACTATTCGAAAATGTTCTCGAACAACAAAAAAAATGTTCTCGAAAATGTTCTCGAACACACGAACAAAATTCGTGGTTCGAACAAAATTCGGCAGTGAAGCACTTGTTCCGGAAGTGTTCGAACGAAATCAGTTGTGAATCGTGCGTAAACCATTTTTCATTCATAAACAACAGGGGGTTTGGAGGGTGCATGGAATCACTTTTGGGTCTTTGTTTGGTGACGGGCTGCACAACCGATGATGTTCGAACATTTCTCGTACAGCACTTCGCTGAAATGTTCGAACCTCGAACTATTCGAAAATGTTCTCGAACAACACTCAGTGTGAATCGCAACTGTGTAAATGTTTCAGCCACGTACTTCCAATACAAATAGTCGTCAACAGAACCTCGACCCCTAGCCTAACCTACTCCTACATATGCGCAATATTCTAATATATAATAATATTCAGTTATATTTGAGAAAATTCGTGTTTGAAGAGAGCGTCAAGGCAATGTCTCAACGCTCTTCCGTTGTGTTCCTTTCTGACAGTTTCGACGGCACCAAGTCGACCAAGGGAGCGTCCAAGATGCGTCGGGATATGATCAACGCTGAGATCTGTCAGTTGAGGGATCTGTTGCCGCTGCCGCCCTCCACACGCCAGAGACTCTCCCAGCTCCAGCTGATGGCCCTCGTCTGTGTCTACGTCAGGAAGAGTAACTACTTCCAGCAGGGTGAGTATCTCTCTCCTCTTCTGTCTCTCTCTCTCTCTCTCTCTCTCGTAAGAGATCGACGTTAGTCACTCCCATAGCGTAAGGCAATGGTCATATTCAAGGGGCCTTCTCTTGCTAATAATAATAATAATAATAATAATAATAATACACAGAGAAATCCCGTTAACGTGATATATCAAAGAACAAATCCCCAGGAGTCTTGGTCCAGACATGATTTAGGGGTATATCTTGGTCTTGACCACGTCGTGGTACAGTTCACTAGATGGCGTCTGGGAACACCCATTCCATAGGTTCGAACCCTGGCTCCTGTGGATTTGTTCAGTAACAATAATAATACATATTAACCAGCCACACCATAAAATGAATGGCGGGGACAATAATGGAGTATTCCACACGTGTTTCAGTGTTCAAGCAACAGGAGCAGAGCCTCAGTCCCACGCCCAACATCGGCTTCTCCAAGGTGAGTGTCAACACTCTTTCACTCAAGTCTAATTCATCTACGGACCTCTCGGATAGTGTTAGTTGTTCAAACTAGACTTATGTGTATAATGTTCGTACCAAATTGCACTTGGTCATTCTTAGTCCTTGGAACTCGCTCGAAGTATCTCTTGGGCATTCTTAGTCGCTGTAACTCGTTCTAAGTATCTTTTAGGCATTCTTAGTCGCTGTAACTCGTTCTAAGTATCTTTTAGGCATTCTTAGTCGCTGTAACTCGCTCTAAGTATCTTTTAGGCATTCTTAGTCGCTGTAACTCGCTCGAAGTATCTCTTGGGCACTCTTAATCGCTGTAACTCGCTTTAAGTATCTTTTGGGCATTCTTAGTCGCTGTAACTCGCTCGAAGTATCTCTTGGGCATTCTTAGTCGCTGTAACTCGTTCTAAGTATCTTTTAGGCATTCTTAGTCGCTGTAACTCGCTCTAAGTATCTTTTGGGCATTCTTAGTCGCTGTAACTCGCTTTAAGTATCTTTTGGGCATTCTTAGTCGCTGTAACTCGTTCTAAGTATCTTTTAGGCACTCTTAATCGCTGTAACTCGCTCTAAGTATCTTTTGGGCATTCTTAGTCGCTGTAACTCGCTCGAAGTATCTCTTGGGCACTCTTAATCGCTGTAACTCGCTCGAAGTATCTCTTGGGCATTCTTAGTCGCTGTAACTCGCTCGAAGTATCTCTTGGGCATTCTTAGTCGCTGTAACTCGCTCGAAGTATCTCTTGGGCATTCTTAGTCGCTGTAACTCGCTCGAAGTATCTCTTGGGCATTCTTAGTCGCTGTAACTCGCTCGAAGTATCTCTTGGGCACTCTTAGTCGCTGTAACTCGCTCAAAGTATCTCTTGGGCACTCTTAGTCGCTGTAACTCGCTCAAAGTATCTCTTGAGCACTCTTAACTCACGCACAATCATTCTTAGTCGTTGTAACACATTCAGTTCATCTCAGGAGTCCACCGGTCGGTGGTGATGTAATATTTGGCCACAGGAGTTCCGGAGAGACGGCTGTTGCAGCCTTCCAGGAGGCGAGGCGTTGTCGCGGTGTCAGTCATGTCCTGCTGGCACCTTCACCCACCTGCCTGTTGTCTGTTTCCAGGCTCCGTTCCTCCACCCTTCCTCCCGTTGTCTGTTTCCGGGCTCCGTTGTTGGTGTTGTTTTAGATTCAGCTACTCGGAACAAAAAGTTCCAAGCAGGTGGGCTATGGTGAGCCCATCGTACTCACCTGGCACAGGAGACGTGTGCCCAGGCTCCGTTCGTCCACCCTGCCTCCCGTTCTCTGTTTCTCCACCCTGCCTTCTTTTCTCTGTTTCCAGGCTCTGTTTCTCCACCCTGCCTCCCGTTATCTGTTCCTTCCCTCCACTTTTTTTGCGCGTCACTCCACGCGTCGGTTCCCACGGTTTAATGAGGGAATAACTTAAGTCTTAACAGGAATTCCGGTACTAGCGATTTCTTGCATAAATTTGTCTGGTGTCCAACCTCTTCCTTGTCGCGACCATGTTGGGAGACGGAGCTAGATCAGGGTTGCCGACCGGAGTTTATTACCTCATTTATGTCCCTCTTAATTAGATTTTTGTTATTATTTATTGCTGGCTCATTGGTTCATTTGTGTTTGCCATGAATTATGATTGGAATTCTGTTGTTCTTTTGGCTCGATAGCGTGTTCTCTTTTGCGAGTTGTTATTTATGACTGTTATGCAACCCTGAGTTATGTCTAACCTTGACCAGGGTGTTCGGGCCTCCCCCGGCTCCCTCTCAATTATTGCCTCTGGGAAGATTTAACGCACCCGTCCCCTAAATATTGCCAGGAACCATTAAAACATTAACTTGTGAGCCTGAGCCAATAATTATAAATCAGCGCTGGGGGGAAATCAAATTGATTATTAAAATAAACACGAATGCGATGTTTTCTAAAGAACTTCCCAGCCGTCAGTTACAGGTATTGCATGGTTTGTTAAGGTCAGGTAAGGCCTTGTTGGTTAGACTACGTTGGGATTGGTTAGCCTTTTATGATGCTTTGTTATTAGAGGTTGGTTAGGAGGTGTGGGTAGTTAACTATGGCCTACCATAATGCATGTTGATTTGAATTGTTATAATGTACAATATATATATATATATATATATATATATATATATATATATATATATATATATATATATATATATATATATATATATATATATATGTTTGTGGCCAGTTTTTAATTTTTTTAGTCTTTGAACAAAACCAAAAAATCCGTACATACACGTCCACGCACACGCGCACACACACACACACACACACACACACACACACACACACACACACACACACACACACACACACACACACACATTATATATCTAATTCCAGGATATATAATCCTGGAAATGCATATAAATCCTGGAGATGAATGATATATTTACAAGGTATATTGACCAAGGGTGATAATGAATTAACACAACTATACACAAGAATGCACACACAAGCCCCCAAAAAACTCAGTCATTCAGGCATTTAAACAAGCTGTCATTCAGAATACTGTACATAACGTACGTTAGACCAGTTCCTTAATATGCAGCGCTAGTGTTGGTGCTCAATTCTTTGAGTAAGCAAAACCACTCATCAGACCTGAGTAATATCTGGTTACGAAACGAGATGAATGGTCGCCACGATGACAGAGTCATTTATCCAAGATAACTGTTTGAAGGGGGAATATAATGCTAGAATAACTAACCTGGAAGGTTACTTTGCCAACGTAGAAGAGCTCGTAAGAAAGTGAAGAAGACTACCAAGACGGCCAAGACGGCCAAGACGGCCAAGACGGCCAAGACGGCCAAGACGGCTACCCGCACACGAGATAGCAAAGTATAAGTGCTATTTCTTGTGCGAGCAGTAAGCGTGCTATTTACCCAGAAATAGACACAGAAATCACAATTGCATGATTCATCAAATGAACAAAAGACAGCGTCTGGGATGCTCTCGGATGCAGGTTCGAATCCTCGTCACGGCCTTTGTGGGTTTGTACCCACAAATATCTTACTACTAAGAAGCAAACCCACATCAGCAGCTGCTCTGGTCACACTGTCAAGAAAGCAACTAAAAGATTACCGCGAGCTCCCATTACTGAGAGAGTTGCTGGGAGTGAGGAGAGAAGCCCAGAGTATACTACTTAAAAGGTAGGGGGTGTGAGGGAGGGAGGGAGGGAGGGAGAGAGAGGAGCAGGAAGACATCGTGGGAGAGCATCCCTCCCTCCTATCCTCCCCATCTCCCTCCCCTCTCCTTCCCATACTTAAGATTAGTATTCAGAGCTGGTGTGGTGGGTCAGAACTTAGGTCATAGGTCGTGGGTAGTCCGCCACGCTCCACTGGCTCGCCCCCATCACCCCCCCCCCATACCCCCCTTCCTCCCTCCATCCCATACATCCCTCCTGTAACCCTTCCAGCAACTTCTTAATGAGAATTTACCAGATACGATGTCCTTCCTTCCTGGGAGAATTCACTTTCTTCCTGTCTAGTGAGACTGACTGACTGAGGCCATACATATTCCCATCCTTATGATCTCCTCGCCCCTGCACCTGCCTCTTCCCCAACTTTTCCCCCTGCCTCTCTACCCTAGTTTCCCCGCCACTTGAACACTCGTAAAATTCCCATCTTCTCTTCCACAGGCCATGAATGGGTTCATCATGATGCTCACGCAAGGAGGCAAGCTTCTCTACATCTCAGACAACGCTGCCGAGTACCTGGGCCACTCTATGGTGAGTCCTGGAGGAGGGAGGGAGAGAGAGAGAGAGAGAGAGAGAGAGAGAGAGAGAGAGAGAGAGAGAGAGAGAGAGAGAGAGAGAGAGAGAGAGAGAGAGAGAGAGAGAGAGAGAGAGAGAGAGAGAGAGAGAGAGAGAGAGAGAGAGAGAGAGAGAGAGAGAGAGAGAGAGAGAGAGAGAGAGAGAGAGAGAGAGAGAGAGAGAGAGAGAGAGAGAGAGAGAGGAATAGATGTGTGTATATTGTGTGACAGTATTTCATGCTGTGTATGTAACAGGAAAACTTGCATCTCTCTCTCTATGAAGGAAGGTAAACTGTTGCTGTCTTCCAATACTGCTGCCACACAAGTAATTTTTGTGAGTGTGTGTGTGTGTGTGTGTGTGTGTGTGTGTGTGTGTGTGTGTGTGTGTGTGTCTTGCTGTCTCCCACCCACTACTGTTGCCACGGGAGTAATAATACAGGTGTGTGTGTGTGCTTGACAGGAGGACCTACTGATCCACGGGGACAGCGTGTACGACATTATTGACAAGCAGGACCACGCTGCCGTACAGGCAGAGCTGGTGAGGGCCGGTCACGCCTCCCAACACCTCGACGAAGACCGTCTCTTCCTCTGTCGTATGAACGTCTCCAGAAACGCCAGAAGACAGATGAGGTTCGGCGACCAGAAGGTGAGACCCGTCCACCAACCTTTGTGTACTGAGGTAATGCTAAGTTCGACCCGTCCTCCTGTTTTAGACGGGACATTTATGTAACTATGTGGGCTATTGTACATATATATTGACGCATTGAAAGGAAAGGAACTATCAGGGGAAAGCACCAAGTCATTACACTATATAGCACTGGGAAGGGGTCAGGATAAGGATTTGGGATGGGACGGGGGCAAGGAATGGTGCCCAACCACTTGGACGGTTGGGCACCAACCCAATATCGTACCAATATTGACGTATTGAACAATTAGATAGTAGAATGTGGTACTATTCAATTTATGGAATACGAAAACAAGCTAAACATAGACGTAAAATATCCCTACGCCTAGTATAGCATATATATGCACTATATTAGGAATTGGATAGTGTGCATAAGGCCAAGGATGGTTAGGTTAGGGTTTTATCGGCCACATAATACTGAGTCTTCACCGGTTTGTCCAAATTTAGTAACAGCAAATTCCACTTTCTAATTGTTCATTACGTCAATATTGGTACGATAGTCTACATCGTTACTATGTAAGTTACACCTTAACAGGAGGATGAGCTGTACAGGTGTACCGTGTTCACGTGTTTGATGTAGAAAAACATTACGATGGTAGTACACTTTATTTATTGATAACAAATGCACCGTGTACAAATGCACCGTGTACCGTGGGACCACAAGAGTAAATGGATCACTTACACTTTACCTTAACCCGCAGGTGGTGCTGGTGGCCGGACACTACCTGTCCTACCTGCCCTTGTGCTCGAGGAACGAGCCGGTGTTCCTGGCCCACTGCACGCCCGTCGCCATGCCGGAGACCAGAGAGAGTGTGGTGCAGGGCGCCACCAACGTCTTCACCTCCGTCCACACCCTCGACATGAAGTTCCTCAACCTCGACAGAAAGTGAGTACTGGCTTGTGTTGCGTCTTCCTTGAGAGTCTTGGGGCGTCTCTCCCTCCCTCTCTTGTCCACAATGTCTCCCAAGACGACAGAAAGTGAGTGCTGGCTTGTGTTGCGTCTTCCTTGGGAGTCTTGGGGCGTCTCTCCCTCCCTCTCTTGTCCACAATGTCTCCCAAGACGACAGAAAGTGAGTACTGGCTTGTGTTGCGTCTTCCTTGGGAGTCTTGGGGCGTCTCTCCTCCCTCTCTTGTCCACAATGTCTCCCAAGACGACAGAATGTGAGTATTGGCTTGTGTTGCGTCTTCCTTGGGAGTCTTGGGGCGTCTTCCTTGGGAGTCTTGGGGCGTCTCTCCTCCCTCTCTTGTCCACAATGTCTCCCAAGACGACAGAATGTGAGTACTGGCTTGTGTTGCGTCTTCCTTGGGAGTCTTGGGGCGTCTTCCTTGGGAGTCTTGGGGCTCTCTCCTCCCTCTTGTCCACAATGTCTCCCAAGACGACAGAAAGTGAGTACTGGCTTGTGTTGCGTCTTCCTTGGGAGTCTTGGGGCGTCTCTCCCTCCCTCTCTTGTCCACAATGTCTCCCAAGACGACAGAAAGTGAGTACTGGCTTGTGTTGCGTCTTCCTTGGGAGTCTTGGGGCGTCTCTCCCTCCCTCTCTTGTCCACAATGTCTCCCAAGACGACAGAATGTGAGTACGGGTTTGTGTTGCAGCTGAGGGAGGCCGAGGCCTTCTCACGTTTAACGCGTGTCTCATTCCACGTGTCTACAAACTGGAATACAATGGAGTACCGGCTTGCGTCTTACCTACCGGGCCGCGTTATTCATCATTCATACCTTTCTTCGTTCCACACTCTCTCTCCTTAATGCCTCGATTGCCGTGCGCGGCGGCGGCGTCAACTCCACCATACGCCACAAATCACACAAGAGGCCCAGACGCTGTCCGACACCCAGTGAGCCCAAGGTGTTGGCCCCGGCAGCCGAGGACGCCCCGCGCCTCCTCACACTCCACCAGGAACCACATCCTCGAGATTTATGACAACGTGCATCCCATGGCGCGTTTTCCGCTTCATTGTGAATATGGAGCGCCTATGCAAATGTGCGCTTTGTCCTGTAAATGACTCGAGACCTTTCACCTTGAGGAGAGAGAGAGAGAGAGAGAGAGAGAGAGAGAGAGAGAGAGAGAGAGAGAGAGAGAGAGAGAGAGAGAGAGAGAGAGAGAGAGAGAGAGAGAGAGAGAGAGAGAGAGAGGACAAGAGGTGAGAGTGCTAGGGAGG